GGATCCAGCTTTGTCCTTGATTGGAGGGAGGGCACTTAATCATGACACCCTGGCAGGTGGGGCGCCCACCACAGAGACAGTGGAACATGGCCCAGGGCTCACACACCGCATGTAGGAGGCCTGCAAGGGGCTGAGAAGCCAGTTGTGGCTAGGGCAAGGACAAGTGAACACTGGTGGCAGGAGGAAGGGTCTCTGGACCTTCCCTGCAGGCCAGCTGGCCTTTCCAGGTCCCCTTGGAACTCTTACCCTTCCCTCCAGGGAGCACAGGTATTTAATAAAACCTTAAGTCTCTTCTATTTTGTTTGTTTGTTTGTTTGTTTTGTTTTTTTCTGGTACCAGGAATCAAACTCATGACCTTGTGCTTACCAGGCAGGCACTGTGCCGCTGAGCTAAATCCCCAGCCCCAAAACCTTCAGTCACTTAAGAGTGGGTGGTGGTGCTTCAGCACTGTGAGGGAAGGCAGCAGTGAAGCCTTTCCTGGGAGGAGGAGGTACATGGACTCTGTAAAGATGGCCTCAGAGGGCTCCCATCCTCCCAGGTCTTGAGAGACCTGGTGGAAGTCCTCTGAAAGAGGCTGGCAGCCTCTAGGGGAAGACCCTGCCCAGCAAGTGTCGCCCCAGGCGGTAGGTTGGCACACTCTGAGTATCCTACCCTTCCACCTGCAGGTGCTGCCCTGCAGTGCTACTCTTGTACTGCTCAGATAAGCAACCAGGACTGCCAGAATGTGCAGAACTGCAGTCAGAAAGAGACCTACTGCTGGACGTCACGTGTCCGTGAGTGGCAATCTGCTGGGTTTCTTCCTTTCCACTGGCAGCTACTGTAGAACCTGGGCCTTGCATCTACCACTGTCCACCTTTGCCCATCTGCTCACTTACCCATCAATCCCCATGTGCCTGCTCAGCTTCCTATCCACCTCTCCATCCTGCATTCCCGGTGCTTAGCTTCAGGCCCCATTGCCCTGGGCACTTGGATGTGGACAAAACCTGGCTCCTGGTCTTGGACAGTTCTTGTCTCATGGCCAACCTGGGGGTGGGGGAGCTGGAGCTGCAGTTTAAAGGAGGCACGGGGTAGGAGGGAGCTGGGGCAGGCCTGGACAAGTGAGTCCCAGGACCTGTCCTCAGCCAGTGGTCACCATGCTCTCCAGGTGCCATCGGGGTCCTGAAGCTTATCAGCAAGGGCTGCACCTCTGAGTGTGTGGATGACGCAGACAACTACTACGTGGGCAAGAAAAACATCACCTGCTGCACCACTGACCTGTGCAATGCCAGCAGGGGCTATGCCCTGCAGCCAGCCACCACCGTAGGGGTGCTCACAGTGCTCATTGGCCTGCTACTGTGGGGTTCCGGGCAGTTGTAGGCTTTAGGGGCAGTGGTCCCCTAGCTCTGGCCTTCCTGGCCCAGGCCCTGAGTGCACCCCACACAGTTCTGCCCTGACCTGCCCCTCCTGTGACTCTCTCCAGGACTCCTACCCAACATCTATCCACTCCAGTGACAGGAACAGTCTGCAGCTGCCAGTATCCCAATGGGCCCTTCATCTCTGATCAGGCGTCTCCTTCTCCAGGATGCCTTTCCCTCGACCCCATCCAGGGGCTGAGCCAAGTCTGAGTGGAGCGGTTGAGAAGAGAGGGGTTGGTTGGGTAGCAGTGGGAGCTGGAGGTGAGGCCCTGGAAAGGACCTGGAGGACAGCAGCCCCCACTCAGTGGCCCTTAATAAACACCTTTTGGGTAAGTGGGAGAGAGCCTCTGTCCTTCCCCCAGTCCCTGGTATGGGTCAGATTGGGGCAGGGGCTGGGGCTATGTCTGGTATGGATGTGCCTTTGACATCAGAGCTGTAGTGCTGGCCTTGATGAGAGCAAATGTGTGGCACATGGAAGGAGAACATCCATTAGAGACCAGGAAGATTTTCTTAGGGCTCTCAGGCCTTGATATGCATCCTTGAGCATGTGCCAAGTGTCTCTGGGCCCTAGTGTTCATCTGTGGCCCTCCCTGCTGTGAGGACGGTCCCAGAACTCTCACTGGGGTACGGGGCTCCTGTTGGGAGGATGTATTAGTCAGCTTTCCCATCCCTTCGACACAATACTTGACACCCTACAATTTAAAGGAGGAGAGGTCTAATTTGACTCAGTACTTCCAGGGATTCAGTCCATGGTTGACTGGCCCCCAAGACAGAAATAACTTGGCAGAAGTGCATAGCCAAATAAAGATGTTCAGTTCATGGTGCAGAACAAGAAGCAGAACAAGGAGAACAGCCCTAGGGAGGAATGGGGCAGGTAGCAGACAGGATACTCAAGATCATGACTCCATGACACACCCAGACACACCCAGACACACCCAGACACACCCAGACACACCTAGCAATGTGCTTTGTCTGGGTGGCTCCCCATATAATCCCATTGATAGTTAAGCTTAACCATCACCCTACTACTCCCTCAGACCTCAGCAAGCCTGCTTTTCAAAACTGTTCTTCTAAGAGCTACAGATCCACAGTAAATACTCACATGCTACAAAAGGATTCCCAGGGCAGGCTACCACTTGCATACTGACCCTAAGGCCCAAACTCTGCCTTGAGCAGCCTCGTTCCACCTCATAGGTTCCTTTGGTTAAGTCTATCCGTGTCCTTAGGCTTGGGAGGCCTGGGGGAAGACATGTCTACCCCTTCCTTTCCTAATCCTGGTACTTGGCCTACCTATGCTGTGGGCCAGCTAGGGACCTGCAGTGCCACTTCCAGGGAAATAGGGAATCACAGAGGCTTAGAGAAGGGAGAAGTTTGTCGCTTGTATCGTGAACTGAACCAAGGTCAGAATTTGGTCCTGGGGCTTTGGGGTGGTAGAAGGGAGCCCAGCGGCCATGGGGCAGGAGTCATGCTGCAGATAAGCCAGGCCAGAGACCCCTGGGGTTTGAACCAGTGCCCACCTGTGTAGGGGTGGGGAAGGGTACAGCTTGATCAGGCCAGTGGCTGAGTGACCCTGAGCACTGACTGCTCCCTTCCCCATTCCAACTCCCCCATGTGCCTGACTCCCTCCCATGGGGGAGCCCTGAGCTCCAGCCTCCTGAGGCATACCACTTCCCAACCCAGCCCAAGGCATGTTCAGCACACAGACCTGGCTTCCCAGGCCCCTGTCCAGGGTCCAAGGTGGGCCTGTAATTTTAGAGTACACTGGAGAGTTGGGGGTCCCTCAGAACTTCGCATCCTTTGGGACTGCTCAGGCTGGTGTTTCCCAAGGCATTGTGTCTCCGGAAGCTGCTGACCAAGGCTTGATGAGCTTCTCTGGTGAGTGTGCAGGGCACAGCCTGGACTCTGGTGTCCTGCTGTGCTCTCCGCTGCTCAGCAGACAGTCTCAAGTGCCTGCTAGGTTCCAGGTGCTGTCCTTGGTATTCTACATAACAGGAGTCAACCAGGGTTCTGCCTGGGTTCTGGATACCCTACCGCAGTGATGGCAAACTTTTTAGTGACATAAACTTTTTAGCTTAGTGACTGAAACTTTTTAGCTTTAGGGATACAAACTGCCTACTGTGTCACATGTGTCATATGTTCACCTCCACTGCCCTATAGTCACCCCAGGCCATAAAGCCTACCAGGCAGTGCAGAAAACTCAGATAAAAATGATAAATACATAAAAAGAGCTGGGAGAACCACATAAAGCTAGGGATGAGGATCCACACTTGATCTTAGCCAAAAGGCCGAAAAGTAATGGGGAGAAGGATTCAAATGCTGACATGGCCAGGAAGGCTTCCTGGAGACCTGAGAACCCGGAAAGGGTGGTCACCCTTACTGAGCAGGACCCAGCCCATGAGGGCTCACACATAGCTACACTCTAGAGAGAGAATCCTTTTCCTTGGGGCTGACACTGCACCCAGGGCTGAAGCCCACCCAGGTCCTGCAGGATGAGCATGCCCAGGGTGAGTGGGTGTTACTAAATTGGGCATTACAGGGATAAGTGTGAGCAATGTTTGGGGAAGGCTCTGGTAGGCAATGAGTTTTCTGTCGCTGGAACTATCCAAGCAGACCCGGGACCCAAGAAATCCAGGTCCTGTCCTGCCACAGCTGCAGGTCCCAGAAGCAGATGAGCAAAGGGTGGAAACACCCCACCCTAGGACTTTTGTTGTTGTTGTTTTGCACTGAATTTCAATTACCTTGAGCAGGGTGAGGGGAAGCAGGAAAGGCAGTCACACCCTAAGAGGTAGGAGGCCAGGCCTATGGCCCAGGCAGGGGAGGAAGCATCCTTACAGCTGCAGCTTCTAGGATCTTGCGACTTACCCAGCCCAGCAGGGTCCCGTGGCTGCTCAGCCTCTGCTGCTCCACTGCCCAAGCTCTGCTAGGTGACTCCCTGAGCCTGTCCTCTCCAGACACAGGAGCCTCTAAGCCATGCAGTAGCCATTAGAAGTTGGGCTGCAGGCCTACCCCTGGTGGTGATGCCTGTCACTACCATACACAAAGGAGTCCCGGAGGAGCAAGGGGCCTGCAATAACCTCTGCCTGAAGTTCCTCTGTGTGCACAGTTATGCAGGCTCAGACAGCCCAGGCACAGGCCTTAGAAGGGGCTTTCAGGTCCAGAGCCCAGGAGGCTCCCGCTTGACTTGGACTCCTTCCAGTCCTCCAGTAAACTGCTGGTAACCCACCCCAAGGTGCCACATCCTTGTTAGCAAGCAACGTGGCCATGCTGGCGGACAAAAAGGTGCAGTTCCCTCAAACATTTAAGTGTGGAGCACCTGTCTAGTGATGGCCTGGGACACCGTGGTCAGCAGGTGCTCTGGCCCTAAGGTCCAGCAGCATGGAGACAAGCTTGTGTAATTGCACCTGTGTCAACTGGAGGTCAGCATGCCTGGGGTGAGGTGGGGGGTTGGGGTGATGGGGGATCCCCAGGGTGGAGGACCCAGGGCCTGGCCCAGGCTGGGGTCAGAGGGATCAGGGAGTGCACTCAGGCAGCCTGCAAGGCTCAGGGCAGAGTGTGGCAGTGGGATGAAACAGTAGGCAAACTGGGTGACAGGGTTACACTCAGAGCATGGTTAAAAGGCTCTAAGGACAAATCCTCAGTCCTCAGCCACCCTTCCTCAGACGGCTGTCAGAGCCCAGCAGGACTAGGCGGGGTGGTACAGGAACAAACGAGTGCAATGTTTCGGGGAGGTGCTGATAGGCAATGTGCTCCCTGTCGCTGGGGCTGTACAAGCAGATCTGGGGATCTAGGGAACCTAGATCCTGCCCTGTTACAGCCACGGAGCCCAGAAGCAAAACTGGGAAAGCAAAGAATCCAGTGTCTGCTGTTGAGGGAGACCGAGGCCAGCAGCAAAGCTGCCCAGCACAGCATGGGACGGTGGCATAGGGCTTCTTTGCTATCTGGCAGTGCTGTTCCCTGAGGCATCTCTGTGAGGGCGCTCAGGAGTGCTGCTAACTGGAGAGGGGCCCATAAGGAGCCAGGTCAGGGCGTTGCAGCCCGAGGCCTCAGAGACTCGGATCGGGCAGAACCCTGGGCGCTGCGCCTCCCGGAGCCCAGCGTTCACGGCCATCGAAGACCCTCTCGGGTCGCCCCACCCGCACCCACGAGGGAAAGGGACTGTGTGAGGACAGAGCGTGTGTGACAAGCCTGTGCCAAGGCGGACACGTAGGGCTGGGCTGCTGAGTCATTTACCCCCGCCCCCGCCCCCGCTCCCCCGCTTCCACCCGGCGCTATCTGCTCGGGTTTCCAAAGGGGGTGAAAGGGCAGAAGTGCTAGGGGTGGGCATGCTTGGGGTGCGCTTAGGGTCCTCAGGATCCTGGGAGTGGGGCTGAGTGCCGGGATGGGAGGTGTAATGAGGTTGCAGGCTGGGACTGAGGTGTTCCCGGGGAGGGGGCGGGTCCGATTCACCCTAGCCTGCCAGAAATTTGCTGGGTACCCTGACCCTGCAGGATCGGGAGGCCCAGAGCAGGGGTGTCGGGGCGCCCTGAGAACCCTTGTGTCCATTTTTCTCGCGAAGTTTGCAGCCTGGCCGGGAAGTACCGGAACCCTTAGATCATTGGACCAGCGGGCAGGTCGGTCAAGTGTTAGCGAGAGACAAGCGAGAAGCTGGCGCCCGGGGCCAGACTGCAGAAGCGGCTGACGCCCTAGTCAACCCGGGCCCGCAGCGCCTGCAGTGCTGAGTGCAGCCGCCAGGTGCCGCTATGGTGCCTAGCGAGCTCCCCCTCCCACTTCCCCTAGTCCCCTCCGCCCCCGGAAAAGCGAAAGCCCAACCCGCAGGGAACGCGGGACAGACCACCGAGGTTGCAGGGGTGGGGTCTGGGAGCAGAGGGCGGAGTTGAGGCCCGGGGAGCGCGGCCTCCGGCGTGCTTCCCCCTCTACCGGCGTAGCGAGATGGTGCGCTCCAAACGGCGACTAGCAGCGGCGCAGTGGCAGGGGTAGCACAGAGAACTGCAGTACCGCCGTCATGCTGGGGCTGCTGGTGGCTTTGATGGCTCTGGCGCTCGCCTTCTTCGCGCTGTTGGACGGCTGGTACCTGCTGCGCGTACCGTGCGCCGTGCTCAGCGCGCGCCTGCTGGAGCCTCGCGTACGGGATCTACTGGCCGAGCAGCGCCAGAGGGGCCGCGTGCTGCCCTCGGACTTGGACGTGCTGTTGCACATGAACAACGCGCGCTACCTGCGGGAAGCGGACGTGTGCCGCATCGCGCACCAGGCCCGCTGCGGCATACTCGGGGCGCTTCGCGAGTTGGGGGCGCATGCCGTGCTGGGCGCCTCTTGCGCGCGCTACCGCCGTTCGCTGCATTTGTTCGAGCCTTTTGAGGTGCGCACCCGCCTGCTGGGGTGGGACGACCGCGCCTTCTACCTGGAGGCGCGCTTCATCAGCCTGCGCGACGGCTTCCTGTGCGCGCTGCTGCGCTTCCGGCAGCATGTGTTGGGCACCTCGCCAGAGCGCGTCGTACAGCACCTATGCAAACGCAGGGTAAGCAGTCCCCTACACCCCCGGGAGGCCCCTCTGCCACCCTGTCCTTTGGGCCTAGGGCCTTCCTCAGGGGTGCCCTTTGGGGGGCCAGGGTCTCTAAGTCAGCTCTCTGCGGCCAGATTTAGCTAGCACACCTTGGTTCTATCTTCCTCTTTTCCACCTTCCTAGAGATGCCCAGGCGACGCGTTGCCCCCAGAAGGCCAAGTTCTCCTGCTGTGTGGTCTGGAGTGCTAAGCCACCCTCTCTGGTCCTTGCTTCTAAACATGGGATAGGTGCAGTCTGTTAGAGGGGCTTGTTGGGCATTCTGGGGAACCCAAGAACCCCATCAGCACAGCTTGGAGCCTAGGAACTGTCTTGGTACCTGAGTCTGGGGTTGGACTGACCCCAAGAGCTGCAAGCCTGTCTTTTCCATAGTGGGAAGAGGAGGGCCTGTCTGCCTAGCCCGAGGCCCTTCCCAGGGGCTGCTTGTGCGCGGTTGATTCCAGCTCTTGGCAACAGCAGCCCTGGGGACACCTGGGTGGCAGTGGTTGCCACAGGGCGGCTGCTGAAAGATGCCAGGGCCTGCCCGCTCCCTGGCCTCACAATCTGTCATGAGGAGCCGCATCTGAAGTGGGGAATCTGAGGCTCAGAGGCGATGGCTGGTACCCTGTGATCACAAGCGCAGCTCCCAGGCTTTCTGTCTTTGCTGAGTCAGGAGGCCTCTGAAGGGCCTGGGTCTTTCTGTCCCCACAGGGCCAGGTGTTGGGCTCCGGGCGTTCTTTCCTATGACAAGAATCCAGGAGGGGTGGCCATCAAGGTCCTCAGTGCAGGAGTTAAGAGAGGACAGGGCGTCTTTCCTTCAAGTGAGGGTGACACGTCCCAGCAGGGGCTTTCAGGTCCAGAGCCCAGGAATCCCCCACCTGACTTGGACCCCTTCCAGTCCAGTAAGCTGCTGGTGATCCAGCAGTATGGATGGGCTGGCCGGGAGTGACATGACCAGGGAGGTGGCTGGATCTGGCCATGGAAAATGGGCTGGAAGAGATGGTCCTGAGAGTCAGAGCTGGACTCAGGAGCAGAGCCTGGACTGGGCCAGCCCTGGAAGCGTGCATGTCTTAGTTACTTTTCTCTCATTGTGGAGACAAAATAGCCGACACCCAAAGTTAAAGGGGGAAAGTTTTATTTAGCTCACAGTTTGTAGAGGTTTCAGTCCATAACTGGCTGGCTTGGAGGCGCAGTGGTGTGGCAGACAAACATTGCAGAGAAGAAATAGTTCATTGGGGGCAGAAGGTAGCAAAGCAAGCAAGGGACCTTAGCGGCTTCTTTCTGCCCCTTTTATACTCTTATCTAGGCTACTCAGTTAGGGTGGTGCTAAACAAATCCGTAATCTGATTAGTAATCGAACTCCCTTAATCCCAGCTTCACATACCCTAGACTCAGCCACCTCTGAAAAAACCGCATCTATGACCACATGAGGCTTTGGGGGACATCTAGACACAAGCCATATAGTGCAGTCCCTCCTCATCCCAGTCTGACATGTGGCCGCTGGCTGAGGTCGGATGGCCATCTGCCTGGCCTCCTCTCATTCTGTGGTTTGCAAAACTGTGGAACCTCCAACCCCTCAGGGTGCCTGGGGTCTTGGGTGAAGGGAGGACGGGGCTGGGTGGCTCCCACACTGCCCTCTCTCAGCCCGAATCCCTGCCCTTCCCAAGGCAGTTGGGGCCCTATCACCTCGTCAGCAGACTTCCGTCTGGTTCTGGGAATTCAGAGACCTCACACAGGATGCCCTGGTGAGGCAGGGCTGGGATGGGGACAGTGTGAGCTCACAGGACCTGGGAAGCATAGGACAGGCATCTGGGAGGGGTTTCTGGAGGGTCGCCGGGGCTGAGGGATGGTATGGGCAGAGGCCTGGCTAGGTCCTGCTTGCTTTGCCCCTCACTCATCCCATAGCAGGTGCCCAACAGAGCCTTACCCTCTTGCCCTGCTGCAGGTGGAGCCCCCTGAGCTGCCAGAAGATTTGAAGCACTGGATCACCTACAACGAGGTCAGCAGCCAGCTGCTCCGTGCTGAGAGTGGGCTCAGCAAGGACATCAAGGCCCAGTGACTGCTGCCTCCAATCTACCCCACCCTACCTCTCAGCTCCAGCCTCAACCTGGGCACTGATGGCCGCCCACCCGAACTGTCAGTTGGCTGTCCTGCGGAACCAGTGTGCTCGGCCAGACTCCTAGCTGCAGTAGCCTTGTGCCAGTCCAGCCACCTTCACCTGCTTGACCGTCTCTTTGCTGGGCCCTATGCTGGGCTGGGGAGCGGCTGGCTTGAGCACTTTGACCCAGCTGTGTTCCCTAGCGGGAGCCAGATGAACAGAAGGGGAACAGGCAGGGACCAGGGCAGGCCCGGGGCTCTCCAGGGCTGGCTCTCGGGCCTGAACCTGACTCAGAGACAGCAGGGCTTCTGAATGCTCAGAGCCAACTTGCCACACCACTCCCTGTGGCCTCTGGTGAGGGCAGGGAACCCTGCAGTGGAATCAGAGACGGCAGAGGGACAGGAGCACCTGGAAGGAGGACTGACTTGTGCTCGCACCGCAGCACAGTTCTGCAAGGTTCCCTTGTACAGAGTTGGCCTCTACTACCTCTTCTGTCAGGGTAGGCAAGAGGACAGGCCCCTGGGACTTTCGGCCAGGAGGGGGTCACATGGCACAGGGGGTCCTGAAGGGGCAGTAGGCTTCCCCGCTGGTGCCCAAGTCGGGATAGAGCTGGTGGGGGCTTTTATCTGCCTGTGCCTATTAAGACTGCTGTGTGACCTCAGGCTGGACCCTACCCTCTCTGGGCCCCTCAGGCCTTTCATTCCTAGAAGATGTGCCTCCCCAACACCTAGTCCTGCTCTGAGGCCACCTCCTTGGATGGGAGGGGTCTTTTTGGCCTTCTGTGTTGTACAGGCCCCTGCCCATTGCCTGGCCAGCCTCTGCCTGCTCCAGGGGACTGCCCTGGCAGCTGATCTCAGGACCCCTGATGATGTTGGGAGGGCCGCTGCTCCTGCCAGTGTCCCCCCTTACAGGTGGGGAACCCCGGCCTGGAGCAGTCCACAGCTGCTGAGAGCCAAAGGCTGAGTGGGGCCAGCCTGAGGCTCTGCCAGTGCCCCCAACTCTCCCTGCTCAGGGCCATTGCCTCTGCCTGTGCCCCTCTTGTGCCCACGGCAGGGCCTGCCCTGTAGCCCCAGCCAGAGCTTCAGTGGTGCCGGCTCCACACCCCTACTCTGCTCTTGCTTTAGTGTCCACATGGGGAAGTTGCAGTCTTTGTTCAAAGCACACGATTAAAGATTTTGAAAGTGCACTTGTGATAGAAGGTCCTCATTCTGAAACCTCCCCGCCCACAGTAGGAGCCCATTCCCAGGAATGTTTTCTGTCCAAGTTTGTTGGGCTTCCTTGAACCTCGGACTTATCTCTGTCTCAAAGAATGAGACACTTAACCTGGAAAGGAGAGGTCCAAAGTCCTCAGCTGGCCTGTCTTGGCCCAGGATTCCCCTTCCTGGGGGTTCCAGGGCAGGGCAGGGACCCTGGCTCCTGCAGTCATGGGGTGGGGTGGAATTGCAGTTGGAGCAGAGACTTGGTGACAGGAGGGGACAGAAAGCATAGGGGACATAGGACAGACCCCTCCAAGGTGGGGAAGTGGGATCCCAGGACAAAGTGGTGAGTTTGGTCACCTGGTGCAGGGGCTCCAGCAGGGGTGGTAGGCTTCCCTGCCCAGGCTCCGCCCAACCATCCCCAGGGCCTGGAGGGGGCCTTTGGTGAGGTGAGTAGGCCTGGAGCGGGGAAGTACCTCACACAAGTGCTCTGGGAGGCACCCGGGAAGGGTGGCTGCAAGACCCCGTCTTCCTGCCTCCTGGCTCTGGCACTGCCCCAAGCCTGTGGCACGTGGGGATCCACTGGGATCGTCTTTCCCTTCCTCTAAGGGGCTTCCGGAGCGGCTATGGTTTCAGGCACAGAGGGCACAGGGGCTGGGCGCAGACGGACTAAGAGGCAGGACAATCGGCGTGCGGCTGGGGATTGCAGGGCGCGGCACCAACAAGGACACATTTCCTAGTGGGACTGCAGAGAGTGGCCCCAAATGGCTGGGGACACCTGGAGAACGGGGCGTGCCTGCGAAGCTGCAGGATGAGGAGTTTGGGTCCTGCCAGGCACCGCGCGAAGGTGCCTGGATCTGGAAGGGTGTGACGCCAAAACAAGGAGTTATGGGCTTAGCTGCGGGATTGAGATAAATTCGTCGGCGCGCGTGCACAGGGGCAAGTAGGCGTCTCCGAGGCCAACCACAGGCAAAGCTTTCCTGGCTCCCTGTAGCCCCCGCGGGGATAGAGATCGCCGCCTAGGTGGGGCAAGCGGGATCCTTGTGTGCCTGCAGTGTGCGGCTGGAGCGGGATCCTTGCGGCGCCCTCTGCTGGCCGCGCCTTTGCACTGCTGAGCTCCCTGTCTCAGCGCAGCCGCCTCTGCAGTGTTCTCCTCAGTCCTTCAGGTGGTGATATCTGCTCACTCACTACCCTGAGGCTGCGGCCCTGACCTCTTGACTCCAAACCCAGGGCCAGTGGTCTCTCTGGAAGTCTAGCCATAACCCAGAAGGCCCCGTCTGGGGGGAACTGCAGGTGGGGTGGGCCCAGGAGCATGCTTTAAGGGAGACCTGTCAGGCAGCACCTGCTCCCAAGGATGCTGGTTCCTGGGGAAGGGAGCTCGCTCAGCGTGGCCTCTGGGCCTTGGGGAAGGAGGAGCTCTCACGGGGAAGGGATCCTCACCGCCATTCTGGTTACTCCGTGTCCAGCAGGTCTCCCAAACTGGCCAGCCACTGCGTGAGGCACATTGCTTGCACCCCCAGCAGCAGCAGGTAGTGGGGGAACCCCAAGGCCAAGGCCCAGTGGCCTCTGAAGCTCGAGGTCCCAAGATCTGCTGGCCAGAATCTAGACAGTACCCAGCTCCCTGGTAGGAGCTTGGGCCTCGGAGGGGCATTGGGGTCCCTCAACCGTTGCCACGTCTCACGGCAGGTAAAGCATGCGTGGAGGGGGAAGAATGGGTTTGGAGGCAAGATCTGAGGTTCCTAAGGACCCTGGGCCCCTGCATGGGGCTCAACCCCTGCACACACACTGCTCCCTCCATCCTCTCTGAGGCCTTTGGGGCCAGCCCTGGCTGTGGGGTCTGGGAGTCAGCTGGCAGTGGCCACAGTCTCATCTGATTTCCCCTGCTGTCCCCAGGGTACAGGCAGGCTATTGCCAGAGGGCGTAATGGGTTGGTGGAGGTGCACACACCCCAGGCAGACTCAGGCAGGGGGCAGCCAACCTGAGCTTCCCTGTGCCTCCTGCTCTCCACCTTCCTTGTTGCAGCTCCATTGACCTTGCCAGGCTGGGCAGAACCAGACAGCCCACTCCTGGGAGAAGCCAGATCTCAATTCAGCTTACTTTCTACTCTAGGGTGGGGTAACCTCCCGGGTTTCAGGGGAGACTCTTGCAGGGAGGGTTAAGGCTCCTGGGGTAGCAACAGGTCCTGGGCTGAAGCATGGGCTGTGTTGCAGGAAGGGTGGCCCAGGCAGCCCCTGTCTCCCCATCTGGGAAATGGTTCCATAAGGCCCTGGGTGAGAAGGAGCTCAGGTGCCTGGAACATTCCAGGATTCAACCCAGCTATCCTGAAGGTCAGCTCTGTGGGCTGTTAGTGCCCAAGAAGGACAGAAGTCTCCATCCATGGTTTATTTATTTTCTACAAGCTTAGGAGCAGAGTAAGTGGCATGAGGCCCAAGGAGGTCCAGTTACAGAGGGAGGCAGAGGAGACCACAGGCAGTGTGAGGCCCTGTCAAAAGAGAAGGTGTCCGAGGTGCATGGCTTCCAGAAAAGCTACAACCCAGCTATCTCCCCTGTGTTGCAGAGGTCACGGAAGCAGCAGAAGACAGGATGGGCAGCCCCGATGCTGTCGGGGTCAGTGGCCAGGCAGGATCTGGAGCAGGAGCGGGTCACCATGGGGCTCTGGTTGAAGGGGTACTCTGCAGGGTGGATGGGCATCGGTGCCTGGTTTGCACGTCCTCCTCCCAATGCCCTTGACCACTTACACTTTGATTTTGCCCCTCCTGCCCCCTCCAGCACCACCTACATTTCCCATCCCAGTCTGGTCCATACCTGCACCCCGCAACTATGACATGTTTATTAATAACAGCACCAGTGCAGTGCCTCTTGGAATAGTGGCAGTGCTGGGCCTGAGATAGGAGTACCCTGTCCCCAGGCTGTGGTAGAAGACTCCTACCCTTACCCTGCCAGTTTGGGGCAGAGCTGGGGCAGAGCTAGGGCGGGAGCCATTGCCAGTGCCTGGTGCAGGATCCCTGAGGTGCTGTGCCTCCTACACGCAGTCACTCCCTCTGAGCTGGGGAAGACCCAACCCAGCTCTTCCGGTCCCTCCACCTCCAAGGCAAGGGGAGCAATGGTGGCTTGCCCAGCCTCACCTGCCTCCACCTTCTCCAGGGTGGTCTTGCAGGCTGTGTCCTCCAGCGTGCAGTAAGTGATGTTCTTGCACAAATGAATGGGTGTGGGCCGGTCACAGGAGTAGCATCTGAAGGCCTCACCTGGACCAGGGGTAGGGGCAGAGCCTCATCACCTGGCCTCAGAGCCCCATGCTGGAGCAGGAGTAAGGGGCTGGAGGTGACCTGCTGAGGTCCTTCAAGGTGCAGTTGGCGAGCTGACACACCACTGCCCAAGCCTGTCTTGCTTTCTGGAGAATGGAGCCGTGACTGCTGCCTCAGGGTACAGTTCACCTCTAGAACCCAGGAAGCCCAGGAAGAGCCTGAAGGATGCCCTCCATCAAAGACTCCAGCAGCCCTCCCTCTAGGAGCTGGCACACTCCAGGGCAGGTTGCCCCCTTCCTGCCACTCACCATAGAGCACACTCCAGGCTGCCAAGAGCAGTAGCTGCATGGCCCAGCGGGAGGTCATTCCGGATGTGCAGGAGTTGGGAGCAGCTGGCTCCATTTGGGGATTTGTACCAGCCCTTGTAGCTCCGCTCCTGGGCGTTGGTGGCAGAACTTGTGTGACTCAGTAGGGCAGCCTGGAGCAGAAGGGTGAGGGCCGTCCAGACTGTGGGTGGTGCCGTGTCATGGTGAGAACTGTGTCACTCAAAGGATCTCAGGAACAGGACCCCTCTACAGCCTCCTTGGGACCCCAGTGTGAGGACCAAGCCCTCCTTTCCATTGGCATACCTGCATCACAGGGACCTCACTGCTCCCCAGACACCCTGTCTTCCTGGGATAGCCCTCCACCTGTAGCCTCTGACAAGCCCCCTCACACCCCAGTTCTGCCTTCTTGGACTTCCTGAGGGCCACATGGCTGTCAAGATCCAAGTATAAGGAGTCACCTGGTTGGCCAGGGACCAAGAGTGGTTTCTTGCATACTAAGACTGTCTACCTGGTCTTCACCCACACACACCAACAAAATGAGGCCAGGCCAATGTGGAAAGGGTTAGCCTGGGGAAATAGGGTGGCTGGGGATGCTGTGGCCTCTCATCGTGGCCAGTCCCCTCCCTGCTAATGGCCTTTACCATGAGCTGCTTGATTTTAGGCCCCTAATGACAGGGCTCTCCTTACCCTCTGGCCCCAAGGCCTGACAATTTTCTCTGACCTTCTCACTGCACACCATCCCACACACACGCCTTTTCCTGTGCTAGGCCTCTTACAGTGTAGAAATACCATCTTGATGCCTCAGATCTTCCCCATCCAGGCGCTCCTCCTCCATAGCCCTTCCCAGATCAGTCTTTGGTGTCTTGTTTTCCAATGTTCTGATGGGTGGTTTTGTGGCTGGAGAGATGAGTAGGCTGTATGGATGGTTAGACTGATGGGTGGAAGGATAAATGGATGGGGAGAAGGATGGAGAATGATATTTGGATGGACAATGAGAGAGTGGATGAGTGTGGTGAGGGATGAATGAATGGGAGAACATATAGATGGATGGATGGAGGGTGGATGGATGAATGGGTGGACAGAGGAAGGGGTAGGTGCCTAGAAAAATGGGGGTAGATGTGTAGATGAATAGATCAATGGACGGGCCTAGTGGGCTCTGTGGAGGGCTGGTGAGTGGGCCCAGCTCTGGCATGGAAGAGTCACACTCTGACCTTGAAACTAGATGAGGTGCTGGAAGGAGCTCTGGGCTGGCACCTACAGGCCCAAGTTTTTCTCTTGTCCTTGCAGCTCTCCACGTACGGCCTTGGAGCGGCCCCCTTATCCTGCCAGACTTTTCCTGCTTGTAGGTTGCAAGGGTGGAAGTGACCTGGCTTTGTGGGCTGAGGCGAGTTTTACAAGCCTTCTCACGAAAGGAAAAGA